CCAAGCGGCTGTGACGTGCTTTCGCTAAAGCTGCTAGAATTTGACATTTCGTCTGGTCCTGAAGTTGGTGTGGAAGTTCCAGATCTGGTAAATATCGCTTTAAACGAATTGGGCTGAGAAGCCGTTGCTTCTTTTTCCGAATTCTTGTAAGTTGCTTCTAACGATGATTGCGCTGGTAGCTTCCGTAGCGGTTGTGACGTATTTTCGCTCATACCACTAGAATATGTAGTATCGTTCTCTCCAGAGTTTGGCGTATAAGTTAGAGTTTTGGTAAAATTTGAAGTAAAGGGAGGGAGGAAAGCAACTGCTTTTTTTTCTTTTTGATTCTCACGAGTCATCTCGAGCGATGACTCTACAGGAAGCTTTCGTTCTTTATTTAAGTTTTCTATGCCCTCCTCAATATCTTTTGTTACTGTAGGCAAACCATCTGTTTTTTCATCGAATAACTGTGGCGTGCTGCCGCTTGTGCTAGTAGAATATCTGTATTGGTCGGATCCTAGCGTTGACGTGTAGCTTTCAGATCTGGTTGATGTTGCCGTAAAGAAAGAAGGTGGAGTTACTCCAGCATCCTCCTCTCGTTCCTTACAAGTCGTCTCGAAGGACGTCTGCCCAGGTGCCTTCCAAGCTATGTCAACGTACTTTACATTCTCTTCTACATTGCCTGCTTCTGCACTCGAAACGCTTCTCATTTCGTCAAGTGGTTGTGACGTGCCCTCGGTAAGTATGCTAAAGTATGTATTTTTGTCCGCTTGTAAGGTTGGCGTAGAAGTTATAATTCTCTTGCATGCTGCCGTAGACAAAGGTGGCGGGGCAGTCGTTGTTTTGCCTTCAGGGTTCTCACAGGCTGCCTTGAACGGCTGATGCAAGAGTACGTGTCGTGCTTTAGAAAGGTTTCCGGTGCGGTCTTCCGTTTGTTCTGCTCTCTCACTGTAAGCGCGCTTTCTTTTGCCGGATGGTTGTGACCTACTTCCTTCTATGCCTGTATAAGGTATAATTTCGTCCGCTTTTGTACTTCTGATAGCGGTTTCGCTTCTGCTTGGTAGTACGGTAAACGAGGGGTACGGAGTAACTGTTACTTCCTCTCCTTGCTCCTCCTGAACTTTCGCGAGAGATGACTGCATAGGTAGTTCTGTTCCTTTATTGGGGTCTTCTACGCTCTGTTCTCTTGCTTCTCCACTTGAAAAATTTCTTATTAAGTGAGACCGGTCTGATGTGCTCTCGCTCAAACCAGTAGAATATGTGGCTTTATCCGATTCTGAGGATGGCGAGGAGGTCTTTCTGTTATTAAATCCTTTACTACACGGTGACGCTGATACAACTATTGCTTCCTCTTTCAGATTTTCGTGAGGCGTCTCGAACTGCACCTCAACAGTTGGGTCCTGTGCTTCATAGAAGTTTTCTGCATTGCCTTCAACATCTGCTTGTGCAATCGAAATGTTTTTGATTGCACTAACCGGTCGTGGCAGTTTCTGACTCATATGTATAGGTAAAATAGTATTGTCTAATTCGTAGTTTGCGATATACGTGGGGATTTTGGTAAACGTTGCGGTAAAGAATGACGGTGGTACTCTTGCTTTGTTTTCTAGCTTTTCTTCTGGTTTGAAAATTGTTGCACAAGTTTCAATTGCGCTGTCTTCCGTCCTAAATGGTGTCGGTGGTGTGGTAGTTTGATGCTCCTCTGACTTCCGGAAAGGCATTCGGAGGAATGACATTAAAGATGCTTCCTGTGCCTTGTAAAGCTTTCGTGGTTCTTTGCTCGTGCTTCCAACATCTGGTAATATATCGCCTTTTGTCCGAATTCGTGCATGGCATGCGACTTCAGCGGTGCTACTCAGTGATGAAAATCCGTTCGGTGACGAAGTTAGTGTGAAATTCTCATATTCTGCACTTTCCGCGATAAATTGGGGCACTGGTATTACTCCTTGTCTGTCTCGTTTATACTGTAAACAGGTCTCAGGTGGAAGGTCCGATAATGGCGTTCTCACCACTTTTTCAATTTTTTCAGTCTCTTTGAGTTTGTCAGCGATGGTCTGCAACTCGACGGTGTCACTTGCGCTGACAGCATCACAAGTACTTGTCGACTCTTTGTCCATGCCAATATGTGTCTCTCCATTGGCTGCTTCTGAACTCTCTGCGGGCGATTGGTCTGACGAGTAGACCAAGGAAGACTGTGGACTAATCGTGCTGTTTTGCAATGACTCTTGACTAATATTCAAGAACAAATACTGCCCAACTACTTTCTCTGAACCTCCAACCTCTTTGTGTTCCTTATATTCACCTGTATCATTCTCACCAGCAATAACACGACGACACAGTTTCCGACTTGAGCCCACTCCTGATAGCTTGTCAACACTGCCTACAATTTGCGTCGACATCTGAGCAGAAGGACTGTGATTGTGGAAAGAGTGGAACAATGGAAGAAAACGCTCTCGCGGATTTTTTTCAGTGGCATTTTTAAAAGGAAGTCGCCCAGCTTGTTTGTCTAATTTTCGCCGCTCTCTAAATGGCTCGCTTGCTGTTCTATATTGAGCATAGTCCTTCTCCTCCAGAAGTGAAAGTCGTCTTGAAACTCCCTTTTTCAAATTCACTTCGGATGGCTTTTTGCCGCAGACTGTTTTTTGCACTGACCAGTAACTTAAACCACTTGGCCACGAGGATCGGAATAATGGCGGGACAGAAGTTCCACACGATGTCATTCGAACAAGCGTTTCAGACGAGCATCGTACAGCAATTCTACGTACCCTTTCAAAAATTTCGCCTTTCTCATCATATCCAACAGGAGCATCCTCGCACGCCCTAGCACTCTTACCTTGCAAATCTGATGCTGGCACTTCCTCAACACTGCGTGAGTACGGCAATGAGGGTCGGCTTAAACCACACAATGCTAAGGATGGCATAATTAATTGGATGCTGCGCTTCCGTGCTGAATTCAATACAACCTTCTCAAAGGAAAACAACACAGCAGGATCCTGGACCTCTTGATTCTCCTTCAATTCCTCCGCTTTCCAAGAAAATTCAACTCCATTTGTCTCACTGAAGGGGAGAAACGTGTCTGAGAGCGTCTCATCAATACCCATCGTTGACACCTTCTGACCAACATCTGCGGATGGCAGGGAGAATTGATACGAAGTTGAAGACGGCACAGTCGACTCATCACGGCGCTGGTTCAACGACATGCGAGCAACTCCCACATTTGATGAATCTACAGCTGGCACTTCCGCTTTTTGAACTTGCTCCAATCCCTCAGGTATTACAGAGTATTCATTTCCGTATTCCCCAAAAAAGAGCACAGGCACATCAGGCGGATTCCTGTTCAAGAATGCCAAGCACAGTTTCCCATCAGCACTTGAGGTACGCATCCATAGTTCGTCTGGAATGCCTGCAACTGAGCCCGCTACGAATGACCTACTTCCCGGCCTGCACTGTGATCCCTGGATCACATTTTCGGATAAACACTCAGCACTTCTCTCTTCTGACTTCTGAATGGCTTCCAGTTCTCTACCTGTCACAAAATATTCACACTCACTTTCCTCGTCCGAAACAGAAGACATATCAAACAGCTTTACGGTCAAGCCTACCGAGGACGATTCACCAGCACTTGAGGTCGAGGTCCACAGCTGGCTTGAACTGCTTGCTACTGAGAACGGAACTGTTGACCCACTAGCGCCCCGCATCTGTAGTTTCTCATTCAGCTTTTCAAATGAAGACTGGCCAGCTAGCTGCTGCACCTCCCGAATGTGTTCCATTTCTTC